GTTGGTTAACGCAACGTAACATTCAGCGGTGGTCAGCGGCTTGGCCATTGGCTATGCCCGTATAGCTGAAATGATACTAAAGCCACACCATCAAAGCTAGATTTTAATGGTTATGATAGCGGTATGGTAATTCTTGATATTGGATTGGCTATGGCTACAAAAGAAATGCTCATCAAACAAGGGCTTATCCCAGAAGACATAATGAAGTAATTAAACATTTGAATATATTATATTCATATAAACATGGCAACAATTGGGATGATGGTCGGTGGAGCTGTTGTTAATGCTCTAGCTTTTTCGGGGAATAATTTTTTATTTTCTAGTATGAGGGAATCAAACGCTGAAGAAGTTGAAGAGGAGCGTAAAAGACATAATAAAGCATTAGAACAACTCGAAGCAGCCCAGTCACAATGGACCAGACAGAGGATATTAAGATTAGATTTTATTCATTAAGAACTGCATAAGCAGGGACATTCAATTCAAACGTTTAAGGATGTTGAATCTGCCATGCACGAATACTTCCTCGTTTATGGAAAGAAACTTGACCCAATGCAAAAACCAACAATAAGTCAGTTTTATACACCGTCAGAGGAACAAAAAAACTGCGAGATACCATTCATAATGTTTGGGTTGACATTTGTGGCTATTTTAGGTTACACAATAACTACGCATAAACCATGACCTAGTTAGGGCGAGTCTTATCAGCCATGTCACCCTGACTCACCAGTGGAGATGTGATTTGCATTTAGACAAATGATATTATAGATGTATAACCATGAATCTGTGCAGATTTACACTCATGGGGAAGCCGACTCAATGCAACCTACGTTCTGTTGGTATTTACTGTGGCATCCACTCTTATTACATCAGGCGGGGAAACATTAACTATACATGTTCTGTATGTGGGATAGGGGTCAAAAGTCGTTATTGTTTATGTAAGAAACACGGTGCTGATAGGGTCAGGAACCAGATTATTTACGCTAGGAAGAGAGATTACATCAATGAGAGGAATAGGTTGGGGAGAATACGTATTTAGATATATGAAAAACAAACAATTAGACATTTGACTCATTTTGCATATACCATTAAACCACAATGGTTTTTGTGAGAGAGTTGAAGGCTTTAGCAAAACAACGTGGTCTACATGGATATTCTCGAATGAGAAAAACTGAATTGATCGATTTACTCGGTTTGGAATACAACAAACCCCGGCAAAAAACAGTGGGCTGAGAGGTTATTCTCGAATGAGAAAAGCTAAATTGATCCGCTTTACTAGATAATAATCAATCCGATGATGTTGATAGTAAATCAGTTGACAATGTTGATAAAAAACAACAAGAATTAAAATTTGTACCAACATCCGCCGGCATTGGTAAATATCTAAGAGGTTGGAAGATGGATATTAATTCAACATGGATGTTAATGATGTTAAGCCCATCATATCGAGCAAAATTAACAAGGAATTAGATGATTTACATGGTATAAAATACCAGCTGACGATTAAAATGTCATTGAGTAAAAGTAGCGCAGACGATAGCACCGAATATACGGAACCATATTTCCGAAGCAATCAAGAAGTTATAACCGAATCCGATACTATAAGCGCATCATTAGATACATCAATTCAGAGGATACAGGAAACTTTAGAACATTGGACTAATAGAGGTTCGGGTTGGGGTGTGGATAAAATCGATAGTTTATATTTAGATATAGCAAATTATATGCCTTTCAAAGGTGGATCTTATATAGATTTAACCCTGTATTATAAAAAGAAAAAAGCCATAATTAATGTAAAAAATAAATCAGATGACTGTTTAAGAATAATGATAAGATCTGCTTTGTTCCCCGTAGATTCTAGAATTGCAAATAGACCTTCTAGCTATCCCCAAAACGATGGACTCAACTTTGATGGCAGAGACGAACCTACACAAATTGATAAGGTGGAAAAGCAAAATAATTTAGCTATAAATGTTTTCGGACATTCTAAAGGAATTGTTGTACACAGGATAAGCTCCGCTCCAGAACATATTGCCAGAATCAATTCATTTCTGATCGAAAAAGATGGAAGATATCATTATACATGGATAAAGAGTTTAAACAGGCTATTATACGATCAAACAAAATATAAGGGAAAGAAATATTTCTGCGAAAGATGCCTGCATGGGTGCAGCAGACAAGATCTATTAGAAGCACATAAAGAACACTGCAGAGGTGTTGGACAGAATGCTATCAGGATCGATATGCCTAAAGAGGGGAAAAATATATTAAAATTTGAACATCATTGTAATCAAATGCCAGTACCGTACGTAATTTACGCTTACTTCGAAGCACTTAGCAAACCTATAGAAAATACTGAACACAGCAATCAAGATAATCAAGATAGTTTTACGTACAAAACTCAAGAACATATTCCTTGTGGGTTTGGATATATAGTTGTAAGGTATGATGGAAAAACAAACCCAGAGGTCCCGATGCAGCGGGAAAGTTCCTAGAATATCTACAAAACGAAGAGAGAATAATCAGGGAAAATTTATCGTGTAAGAAACCCATGTGTATGACGAGGGATGATTGGAGGGCCTATAAGAAGTCAACTCGTTGTCATGTTTGTAATAAACCCCTGAATGGGGATTCCGTAAGAGATCATTGTCACGTCACGGGTAATTATCGGGGAGCCGCTCATAACGAGTGTAACTTGAAACTAAAAATGAATTCTCAAACAATACCCATCCCCGTTGTGTTTCATAACCTTAGAGGATATGATTCTCATCTCATTATGCAAGCTATCTCAAAGACCAACGGCGGCTTAACATGCATTCCTAATAATATGGAAAAATACATATCGTTCTCGTTGACTAAAACTATCCATTATAGGGACAAGGATGGGAAATCCAGAATAAAGCAAAGTAATGGGCTTAGATTTATAGACTCCATACAGTTCTGTTACCTTCCCTGGACAATTTAGCTAATGCGAACAATCCCGATGACTTTGCGATAACAAATCAATATACCGATAAGATAACACGTCATTTGTTGCTGAGAAAAGGTGTATATCCTTACGAATATATGGATGATTGGTCTAGATTCAACGAAACTAAATTACCACCCCTTGAATCATTCTATAGTAACTTAACAGAATCTAAAATAACCGATGCTGATTATGAACACACTCTTGACGGTCTGGGATAAATTAGGTTGTAAGAATTTAGGTCATTATCACGATCTGTACTTAAAAAACGATGTACTGTTACTCGCCGATATATTCGAGATATGTAGAAAGACATGTTTAAAACAATACGGCTTGGACCCAGCATGGTACTATTCCAGTCCCGGACTATCGTGGGATGCATTGTTGAAGAAGACCGGTGTAGAAATAAAACTACTCACCGATTACGATATGCACTTGTTTATTGAGAAAGGATTAAGAGGTGGTATATTGATGGTAGCGAAAAGGTATTCTAAGGCTAATAATAAATTAGTGGAAGGATATGATCCGAGTAAACCCGACACGCATATATTATATCTCGACGCCAATAATTTGTATGGATGGGCTATGAGTCAACCTTTACCCACGGGTGGTTTTGAGTGGATCGATGATATCGAAGTGAATGATATCCCCTCAGATTCTGATAAAGGGTACATACTAGAAGTTGACATGGAATATCCAAATTCGTTATATAAATATCATAACAGTTATCCACTAGCTCCTGAAAGATTAATGGTGAATAAAGATTGGATTTCGGAATATCAACACTCCTTGATGGGTAATAGTAGGTTAGCTAACGTAGAAAAACTCGTACCAAATATTGATGGATAAGACAAAATATATAGTTCACTACAGAAATCTCCAGTTGTATCTATCGTTAGGTATGAAACTAAAGAAAATACACAGAGTTCTAAAGTTTGATCAAAGCCCTTGGATGGAGCCCTATATAAGACTGAACACAGATTTAAAAAAGATAGCTACCAGCGATTTTGAAAAGAATCTATATAAGCTCATGAATAACTCAGTATTTGGTAAAACTATGGAGAATCTAAGGAAGCGTGTTGATATTAAATTAGTCAGATCTAATGAGGAAGAGAGACTAAGGAAACTTATAGCCAGTCCGGCTTTTAACAGAAGCAAGATATTCGATAACGACTTAGCTGCGTTGCATATGCAGAAAAGTAATATAAAATTCAACAGACCGGTGTACGTCGGTATGAGTATTCTCGACTTGTCAAAACCCTTAATGTATGACTTTTATTACAACGAACTTAAGAAGCAGTACAGCGATAGATGCGAGGTGTTATATACCGACACAGATTCTTTGCTGATGGAAATACAAACCGAGGATGTATATAAAGATATGGCAGAAAAAATAGATATGTACGACACGAGCGATTACCCAAAAGATAATCCACTGCACAGCGCAGTAAATAAAAAGGTGTTAGGTAAGATGAAGGATGAATGTGCTGGGACCCCTATAGCGGAGTATGTGGGATTAAGACCTAAGATGTATTCTATAAAGAAGTCCGAAAATGGAGAGATAAGAAAAGCTAAGGGTGTTAAGAAGTATGTGGTAAAAAAGCATATCAAACACGAACAGTATAAAGAAGCATTATTCAATGGTAGAATGTTCAAACACGAGATGAACTCTTTAAGAAGTTCCAATCATAGGATATATGGATTAAGAATGAACAAGACATCATTATCCCCCTTAGATACAAAGGATCGTTGAATCGCATCAGCCTTTTGACATAAAAAATTCCCCCTGGGAACAGGTATATAAATCTGGCTCCAGTGGGGTTGCGCCAGAACCCCTATTACCTATACTACTCCTTCAAATTAATTTTTTCTTGACCAGTGCTGAGTTTGCTCATATCCCCATCAATATGGGCAAGTAATATTTAAGTGATTGACACATGTGGTCAAGTTGGTCCTATATGTCACAGAATCAAATTCAAGAAGGAAATTGTTATGTGTTGTCAGGATAAGAAATAATATGGTATTATGGCCTTACCATGGAGGTTTTCATAGCTTTGGAAATTCAATTTTGACACAGTATCAATGTGAGCTTCTGTGTTTCTGCCAGGCACATGCATGTGAGACTTGCAAAGATGTTGTCTTGGTATTCTCCTTGGTGAAACCTCTGACCGTACTTTAGGATGTGCTGTCCATGGTCGTATGTATCCATTGCTGTCCCCCATCTGGATAAAGGTTGCTGCATGAGAATCACATTCATTGGAAACTTGGGCTGACTGTGGACGACGAACATTCCGAAGAAACATCCTCTTGCACCATTTGCTTCAAGAAAAATTCCTGAAAATAATTGCAAAATGAAATGAGTGAGCCTGTAATAAAAGACCAAAACCCAACACCCACCACACCTCACCATCAGTGGGCGGCATCTGCCCAAAGATACAGTTTAACTGCATGTCATAGAGTTACCATGGTTACATCAATTCATTTTTGTCAGACATAGTCAATATTGGACAGAAGCCTCAAAAATATTTTATGCTATTCATTCCCATTGTTTAGCTCACCTGATTGTGCCTTGTTTTACAGAGTCAATGACACTTAATTATGTTGATTAATATGCTGCTGCATGACTGGTCATCTGATAAGTGAGTGAGTGAGTTGGGTTTAACACCCCTTCACACAGCACTTTATGTGTCAGCTTAATGTGTGAGGAAAGCCAGAAGTGATGCAGGTCTCAGGTGTTTACCACTTTGGTGAAACCCATGAGCATGGGTATGGTGCTGACAAACAGACATAATCAGGGCAAACTGGAATTTGAACCGACGATCATAGGAACAATAGTTCCAAAATTAGTACCTCTATTACATCATTGCCATATTCCTGTATTTTGGCTGCAATCACACTGTAACTGCAGGGCTTGATAAATACCATTGCCTGACGACCCTTCCATGTAAGGTTTAGATGTCGGGCGAGTAGTATACGTTTTCTAGCATGCCCGTCGACAAGCAGAGCATACAAAATGAACTGGGTCAAGTTTCACAAGAATGTAATCATGTGATCATGTTACGATATTTCATTGGCTAATAATTTGCAAGTGTCACAGACTGGCGATCTAATTTGCATACAGTTACACCAGTCAACCAATGGGATTAATACACTTCGATGTCTAGCAGGTCAACAACAATGATAAAACAGACTTGTTTCATTGATAAATCGTTGTTACACTTCCATATATGGCACATGCTTCTTGGAAATTTAATACTGGACAGTTGACTACATTTCTTGGAATTTATAATGTGAGGCAGGTCTAGTGCTGACTTTAGAAGCTTCGTTTGGCCTAGCTTTGATGAATTAACGAGTCAAAGTATGGCATTTAAGATATATTTAAAGTTCATTTCGAGGCGTCAATTGCAATAATCTGACCATGGTTGCTGTAAATAACGGCGAGTTGTGCAATCTACCGATCCCTTTTCACACATTTTCGCTGGAATCAATCTGACCAATATTGAATGTAATTTTGAATAAAATAATATAGTATGCAACAAACATAAGTCCAGATATACAACAAACATGTTTTTTTGATAACCAGACAGTGAAATAATATGAATAAATTGCAGACTTCATTTCGGATATGTTGACATGCACGGGAAGTAGACTGGCTCTGTATAGGGCAAGATCATTATTTGCGTCGAGGGTTGGTTACCTGCTGGGCTACTACCAGAGGGCCAAAACTTCGCACACCTTCAACGTCCTTGAGAGACACATCTCGAAGATAATGACTAGAGAAAACTGTGTCGGACCTCCAAGAACACCATCCGGGGATGTGTTGAACTATGAATTGTAATTCCAGATCAAATAGATGGAAGAACATGAATGTCTGTTGTTGAAGAGAGTGGGAATGCATTGTTCCCTGATTGCGCAGGCACCACACCACAGTGCTGTTGTCTGTGGATATGATTGTTTTAATAGAGCAGTTACTATGTAACGCCATGGTCGACGCTTACGCCCTATTTGTGTGAGGATTAAGTTTGACAATGTCATAACCCTGAAGGATGACTGCGCGTAACCATAGAGATATGGTGTTGCGACTAACTTTGGTCGTGGACATAGGAGATATGGGTATGAATAACCGTTTTATCAAGCCACGCCTAGTTTTGGAATGGCCGATGAAAACTCGAAGTGCTTGCACCAGGCACAAGACAAGTTGACCCTCATCTTGGATATGGGTGGGATGGTGAAGGAACGATCGGGTTGGCCTGGTAATTGATTTTTTGCTATAAAATCCCAGCCCAACCTGAGATGTACCGCTCCATGCATACCATGCTCAAAACGGACCAAGGTGATGTAGATTGCATGTAGCTTGCTCACCCGTGCCGCCGTTGCTAATGCCAAGAGAAAAAATATTTTCTTTGTGGGGTCATAATATGAGGATGCATAGAGGGGCTCGAAGGGGCGTCCTCGCAAACCTCGAAGTAGCATGTTCAAGTCCCAAGCAGGGGGACGGAACTTGGCCTTCTGATCCTCAAGCCCGGATGTGCGTAGCAGGTCCTGTAGTTCTGGGACCTTGGTCATTTTGCAGTTTTCTGGAATGTCCAACACTGAGTTAAGTGCTACCAAAAATGTAGTAATGGTGCTACCTAAGAAATGTTTCTTAGTATGCAAATGTAGGAGGTATTCGGCAAATAATTTTGGTGACGCAGTCATGGGGTCTTGTTTTTTTGCCTTGCAAAAAGTCTCAAATGATCCCCACTTGTCATCGTATAATCCTCTGGTAGAGGGACGATGAACTAAAACTGTAGCTTTAGCTGCCCGTGCCGAACCGCCCATCGCACTTAACGCCTTTTTAAGATGAACCAAGCGTGCAGACGATAACTATCTGGCATTGGGTGAGGCAAATTGCTGGGAAGGTGGATGAGTAGGTTGGACCACTGTGGGAGGGGTAGTGGATTGTCTTCTGCTAAACTTCTGACCTTGACGAACCACCCTCTCGCCAGCCACCAGGGGGAGACCAAAGTCAGAGCAAGATTCCCTGTCTCCTTGATCCTTTGTATCACCTTGGGAAGTAGAACAGGTGGCAGAAAAGCATAAGTTACTCCGGATCCGGTAACGGGAAGACATACATCAGAAGTTGGTGGTTTGGGCACGTAGCAAACAGGTCAATGTTTGGTTGCCCGAACATGTGAGGCAGTACCTGAAATGCTTCTGTGTGAAGTTTCCACTCGGAAAGAGCCACCCTGTCTGGGCGTTAATGCATCGGCCAGTATGTTCTGCCATCCGGGGATGTGTTGAACTATGAATTGTAATTCCAGATCCACCCAATGGAAGAACCTGAATGTCTGTTGTTGAAGAGAGTAGGAATGCATTGTTCCCTGATAGCGCAGGCACCACACCACAGTGCTGTTGTCTGTGGATATTGCGAGTTGGGCAGACTGTAGCTAATTCTGCCAATGAGAGATGGCCAGAGATAACGCTTCCAACTCCAGGTTATTTTTGTGCCAACTTAGATGAGCGCCGGACCATAGCCCTGAGACTGTCTGGCCTTGCAGGTGAGCACCCCACCCCCTGAAGGGAGCGTCTACGTCTAGTTTCGGGGATAACCAGGATAAAGAGACTCCTCCAAAGACATTGACTCTACTGTCCACCAATTGAGGCAAGGCCTTAGATGGGCCGGTAGAGTGATGGCCTTGAGTGGATTCTGATCCCTGATGTAAGAGTTCAGGAATGGATTGATTGGGCGCAGTTGTATGTGGCCCATGCTTGTTAAGTCCTGTGCCGAAGTGTGTAGCCCTAGCAACACTTGCCATTGGTGAAGCGTGTGTTGTTGGTGTAGTGCAGGTGACAAGAGACGTAAAAATTTGGCCATCTGTCCCTTGGTACTGATAGGAGATCCAGGTCTGTCTGGAACTCAGTCCCAGTTGGAAAGTGCTAAATAACAAAGTCTGTGTGTGATGGTTATCTCATGTGGTCAATCTCATGGAAATCCACTATAGTTTGGAAATCATCTAATTGGTTAGGGTTATCCTCTGATAGATCCTGATCCACCATACGCATTGACGAGGCTAGTGCTGAAAAGGTTTCAGTACAAGCCTGATTTCCGTTTCTATGAATGCAAATCTGGTATCTTGCAACTCGTCCAATGACCTAATCATGTCTGACAAATCGGATCCACCGGAATCCAACGGAATCCACCTGCGCTACCCCCATCAAGGCGTCTTGAGACCCACGCGCTGGCATCAAAGGGATCGTAGTGCTGGATGTCCCAGGTGCCTGAAATTTGGGAGCAGGTACGATACTCACAAAAGCCTCCGATACTGTTGATACTGATGAACATCTGCAGTCACAATGATGCAAGCCAAATTACCCACCAAAGATAACGGCTGCGTAGTAATGACAGATGAATGTCTATCGCTAACCGCCAGCGATTGTGACATCTTCCTCGCCACTCAACGGGACTGAGGCAAAATACTTCCATGAATGACTGGTCTATAATTTGCAAAACTCGCTGGAGAGAGAGGTGTACAAAAATTACTTTTAAAGTTTGGAGAGCAAATCTGTGTGCATGCTAAACAATGCGGATAAGGATCTTTGGAAGATTTTTTTCCTCGATAATTAGTACAAAGCGCAAGCATAAGTTACGCAAAATAGAGAATTGTTGATGAGACAGAGTTGGAAGATTGCCAAATGTTCCTCAGTTGCAGATAGGCAGCTTATTGGCTTGGCAAGGCAGATAAAAAGCCACGGGGACACTGAAATGCCAAATGTGTAGTGGATACCATTGAACTGGAACCTGTGGAACTGCCGGTCACCGGGGTGGTTAGGCACATACGGGTATGTATCCTGTAGATCGAAGCTGATCAGGAATTCAAAAGCATTGATGGTGGCCCTGAGCAGTCACTGTTCATTGAACAGCGCAAGGTTGTAGATCATCCTCATCTTGTTCGAATCCCATTTAGGAATGAGAAAAATGGGCGAGTACACCTGTGTTAGCACTAGGGTCTGCACCTCTATGGCTCTTTTCTCTAACATGGTCTGTATGTTGTTCTCCAACAATTGTTTTCTCTGGGATAAAGCCAAGGCTCCGGTGCCGTTGTCAATGGAGGATCTTCCCACAGGCTAAGATGATACCCATGGCCTATTATATTGTTGAGAGCATATGTGTGTGCCATACCAATCAAATTTCTCCCAAAAAGGCCAAGTCTCCCACCTGTTTCCCGCTCCGGTCCCCGCTCCTACCCCAAAAACTACCTCTACGGGATTGATAGGAGCCTTGGCCTCTGCCCTTGCCCCATCCTTTGCTACAAAAGGAGGACAGATCGGTGGTCTGGTCCTTGAGGGATGAG